TGTCACGATGACATCCCTTAGCCATGTGACCTTGCAACTTGAGGTATTACCTGGTAACGTGGTTGTGTCACATGACGGGAAAATTTGACAATTGCTTCAATCGGGCTACGTAAGTATTAAAGGCGGGCGAAGCAAACTTCTAGAAGGTAAATTCAGTTTGAGTGTGGCTCAACCTGATTTTCTCGTTTGGAAGATTAAATTTCTAAAGTAAGCCAAGTGAGAGTACTGAGAGAAGTTCAGGTAGGTTTTGACAGTATGAAAACTGATTTTTCAAATTCGCCGCCAAGACCAACGAGGCCTCAACATTAGGTAACGTGCGTTTTTCGCCATTAGACAATCATTCCTATGCTCACCCGACGGATGCTGAACCGTTTCCTGCATAGGGCCTATAATTAGAGGTGTGAGAATATTCCCAAGTTTCGAATAATGAATCTAAGTTAGCTGCATTCACTTAGGTGCTTGAATAAAAAAGTAAATATTTAAAAATATTCAAAATTCCGAATATTTTGAAATAGCTTTGAAAAAATAAGCACCGACGAGAGAACCCTAAAACAACAATGTTTTGGAACAGCCAAAGGTCATTTTCCTTTTAATTACTAAAGTGACCTGCACCGTCAGCCAAAGATCATTGTCGGCGCCATGTTCTTTAGACTATCAACACTCAATTAATCGCCGTGGAAACGTCCAGAAACTCCACTCTTGCTCACTTTTTACTATGCTTAAGCTGTATTGTATTAATCAGTTCCTGTCTTCATCTTGTAATAACTGCTTGGAGCCTCATGACGAGCGACAGATGCGATTTTTTTACGTTTGAGTAAATTATTCTTGAATATGTTGATATTAACGCTGATTGTTACGTGCTATCGGTGCGCAAGCCATGTTGTGATGACAAGTTCATCTGCGTCATCATATCTTTAGTTATATCCGCTGTGTGTGGTTGAAAAGTGTTTAGTTGTTGTGCTCCTTTTTTTACATAAAATCAGGTGACAAATCTTACATTGAAAACGTGAGTGAGTGCTGCATTTGGGCCAAGAGTTACAAAATACTATGAATTCAATTGAGTTTTTATTTCGGACATGTATAAATTAGGGCATGGCTGCGGAAAAGGAAAAAAAAGCTGCAGTTCCTGCTGTATACGAGGTTATCCTAGTTTTCGTAATTATGAGATTAGGCGTTGAATAAAAGTAATTTAGACGATAGGTCCATGGCTAACCTAGCAACGTACATGCAGGAGTGTTGGGAAAAAGGGACGATACCGCAGGAGTGGAAGCTCGCAACTGTAATTTTCATTCCTAAACCGGGTAAAAAACTCGGTTTTGAGAATCTTAGGCGGATATCATTAACGTCTTGCGTAGGTAAGCTCATGGAGCATGTCGATCAGACGCGGCTCAGTAGGTACATGGAAGACAATGGTATGTATCCGGACACCATGATTGGTTTTCGACCCCGACTATCAGCGTGCGACGTGATGCTACAGCTCAAGGACCAAATTGTAGACAAGCCAACGCGAGACACAAAAGTTATCGTGGGGTTAGAGGTGGCAAAAGCATTTGACAACGTGAGGCATGTATCGATCTTGGAGAATCTGAGCTCACTGAACGTCGGAAATCGAGTGTATATATATACGTCAAGGACTTCTTTTCGAACAGGACAGCCACTTTAAAAATCGGGGAAGAATCCATCGAGGACATTAAATTAGGCAACAGGGGGACACCTCAGGGCTCGGTGTTATCACTCACCCTTTTCAACATTGTGATGTTGAAACTGCCTGAACAGTTAAAGAATATTGAGAATTTAAATCACACCATTTACGCGGATGACATAACATTATGGATGAACAAGGGCAGCGACGGCCAAATTGAAGGCTCTCTGCAAATCGCCATTGATAAAATCGTGGAGTACCTGGAGCCCAAAGGACTTAAATGCTTGGCCTAAAAGTCGGAAGCACTCTTCCTCATGCCCGCCGGAAAACGGCGGCTCCACAACAGGCCTGAAGTGGACATCGACTTGTATGTTAACGGCGCAGAGATCCCCGCGGTCGACAGTATCCGTGTCTTTGGACTAAGGATTCAGGCGAACCGTAAGAATTATGAAACTCTTGCTAGGTTGGAAGCCAGTTCTAATCAGACATGACGTCTCATCAGACGAATAGCAAACAGGCATGCTGGAATGAAGGAGGTGAACCTTCTTAGATTAGTGCAGACCTTCATAATAAGTAGGATAGTGTACGTGGCACCTTATTTAAAATTAAACCAAGCGGAACGGGGCAAACTCGACACCATTATCAGGAAAAGTGTGAAAGTCGCGCTTGGACTTCCCCCAAACACTTCAACTGACAGACTTATGAAGTTGGGGGTATCTAACACACTCGATGAGCTAATCGAGGCTACTGTGACTGCACAACATCAAAGACTACTCGGATCTAAAACGGGGAGAGCAATATTAAAGAGATTGGGCTATGAGCCCACGCATGAGCAAGGGCGTTCAAAAGATATACCGATACAGATCAGGGACAGGATAAAGACACTTCCGCTACCCAGAAATATGAACCCTACCTTTCACGAAGGCAGGCGTAAAGCCAGGTCAGAGGCATTACAATCCAGGTACACCGGTCGACAGGCGTTGCCTATACAGACGCTGCGGAATATGAAAGCAAAGCGGCACACATGGCAGTGGCGGTCAAGGAAGATGGTGGCCTGATTTTGTGCTGCACAGTCCTTGGTGTCGAGACTGTAGAGGTCGAGGAAGTGGGCATAGCTTTGGCCATCAGGGAAAAGGGGGTCAGGGTGGTCATCAGCGACTCCAAAGACGCTGTGAGAAATTATGAATCAGGAAGGGTGACGGAGACTGCCGTCCGTATATTAAACATGGTAGGAGTACCCAAAGAGCAGGTTCTGCTTGTCTGGTCTCCAGCTCACCAAGGACTTAGAGGGAACGAGGAGGCTCATTCGGTCGCCCGAGGTCTCACCTACTGGTCTACCCCTAGAACCTCCCAAGTTACCGAACAAAGAAGCGAGTATATGCGCACATACCATGAAATCGTCGCACACTACAGGCTGAATCGGCAAGTATACCCGAGAGGCGGACAACTCACTAAGACAGATGCGATTTTTTACGTTTGAGTAAATTATTCTTGACTATGTTGATATAAACGCTGATTGTTACATACTATCGGTGTGCAAGCCATGTTGTGATGACATCTTCATCTGCGTCATCACATCTTTAGTTATATCCGCTGTGTGTGGTTGAAAAGTGTTCAGTTGTTGTGCTCCATTTTTTACATAAAATCAGGTGATAAATCTTACATTGAAAACGTGAGTGAGTGCTGCATTTGGGCCTAGAGTTACAAAATACTATGAATTGAATTGAGTTTTTATTTCAGACATGTATAAATTAAGGCATGGCTGCGGAAAAGGAAAAAAAAAAGCTGCAGTTCCTGCTGTATACGAGGTTGTCCTAGTTTTTGTAATTATGAGATTAGGAGTTGAATAAAAGTAATATTTTCGCCTGAAGTCATTGGTGAAAAGGGTGAACATTTGTTTTAAATAAATGCTGATGTGTTCAAAGGCTGTTTTCAAAAAGGGTCTGTTTTCTATTAAAAAATTCAATTACTAGTTAGTATTTCATTAGGTGTCATCACTATCCGATTCGTATTTGATTGGACTCCAAAATGCACCTATTTCTACAATACAACGTATAATCATTTCGCACTAAAACTTACCTGCTTTATACATGTTCACTCGCCATCAGGCTAGGCTGCTGGAGGCCCCGACGCGGTGGTCTAGTGACCAAGGTAGTCGGCTGTTGACCCGTAGATCGCTGGGATCGATTACCGGCTGCGGCGGCTGCATTTTAGACGGTGGCGAAAATGCTGTATGCCCGTGTGCAAGTTAACGTGCATTTGGGTGCACGTTAAACAACCCCAGGTGGTCGTAATTTCCGGAGCCCTCCACTACGGCGTCTCATATTCATATGATGGTTTGGGACGTTAAGCATATAGAGTTTATCAAATATACACTATAGGGAACTCTGGCGCTAGTGCCTATGGGAACTACAGCACTCGGTGCTTCAGTGAGCATGGGATTGATGGTACTACACGATTTTGTCTAATCTTCGTACTTCTGGCTCCTTGTGTGTTCGTGTGGCTTAGAGCCGTTTTCTCATGAAACAAAAATAAGCAAATGTTAAGCAGTTGCGCTTCACCACCTTATTCGTTTAGATTTACGATTTCAAATCGGATCACGAAGTTTTAAAAGGTTCATTATTTTCTTCGAAACTAATCGAAAACACGCCAATAAACGAAGCCACCCCGCCGCGGTGGTCTAGTGGCTAAGGTACTCGGCTGCTGACCCGCAGGTCGCGGGTTCGAGTCCTGGCTGCGGCGGCTGCATTTCCGATAGAGGCGGAAATGTTGTAGGCCCATTTGCTTAGATTTGGGTGCATGTTGAAGAACCCCATGTGGTCGAAATCTCTGGAGCTCTCCACTACGGCGTCTCTCATATCATATGTGGTTTTGGGACGTAAAACCCCACAAATCAATCAATAATCCTTAAGTTCCTTTATCGCCCTGTTACACCGTAGCAGATCATTTTGTTAAGATTACGCCCACTTCACGATCATTACAGATTAATCTGGAACCTACGTGACTGCTATCGATAACGTTAGAATATTCAACGGCACACGTATAAATGCACATGCGCTTCACCGCTTGTCATTTGATCGACAGCTGACGCTTTGTTCATCGCTATCAGTGCTGTGTGTACAGCTGTATCTTGACTTTTCATTGACCGGCTACAGGTTCGGCTGAATAAACAGTTTCATATTCGTCGTCGTCATGACCCCGTGACGCTGTGAAATATACTTCATAGTTTTCACACACTGAATGAATGACATAGTTTATCTCATGTCCATAATTTTTCCAATTCTAAGATCGAAATAAGCGAGCAGTTTACTTCGCCTCTTGGTTCAACGAACTGAAATTGGTTATTATCTCTTCGCAGGGGCCGTGCTATTTGTCCTGTGCAACTGTGCAGTAGTCTTCAGCCACTTGGCTCCTCCCGCGGGACCAAGAAGACTGCACCACGATGTGGCGGACAGCTTCAAGGTGCATAAAACCTTCTCGCTACATACGCTTCGATTTATATAGAGAGCGACTAATAAGAACTCGTCCTGTTTTAACTCAGCAACTGGTGAATCACTCTTGTAAATGCAACATTTTTTGATGTAGCATTGTAGGCGTCCTCGATTTTACGTTCGGGTTTGAACTTATATATATACGATTGGCGGTAGTGATATAGCAGTAATTGTCTTCAAATCATGACTTTTAGTCATGATTTGAAGACATTTTTTGCGATAGTCCATTAACCTGATAAGCCACTATTCAGCTATGTCGAATGTAACAGATTTGCAGACAGACAGCGGCGCCGGCTGCAGATGTATACTTATCCGGCCTGCTTCTCTGCGCTGGAGAAGCGATAAAGGAGGCTGGTTATGACACCGATCATGATGATGACTTTTTGTTTACGAGGGCCATTGCGTATGTGCTCCCCTCACCACTTATTAGCCAGCGCCGAAGCCTGGCTCATCTGCTCCGGACGATAATCTATTGTCGCACCTGTGCGTTGATACTTTTTCCCTCTCCCCCTTTTTTTTTCGCGGCGTTCCTTTATAAACTACTGCGTACAATGCCGTAGGGCTCTCACCGTGGTGTTCTAGTGGTAAAGGTACTCGGCTGCTAACTTGCAGGTCGCGGGATTGAATCGCGGCTGCGGTGGCTTGATTTTCGATGGAGGCGAAAATGGTGTAGGCCCATGTGCTTAGTTTTTAGTGCACATTATTGAACCTCAGAGGATCGAAATTTGCGGAGCCTTCCACTACGGCGTCTCTCATAATGATATGATGGTTTTGGGACGTTACACTCCACATATCAATCAATAAAAGCCGTGAGACCATTCTTTTGTACACCTTTTTTCGGCAAGCATGCCGCTGTGAAACATACGTTGTTCCTTCTTGCGGCGTTTTCCTTTCCCGGCTTGGAGGCCAATTCAACCAAACGTAACAAGGGCAACAAATTGAGAATGCTCTCAGTCACTGTCTAGCCTAGTGAATGGTGAGAATGCTGGAGCAGTGCATAACCTGGGCTGTGCGGCTTGCTTGAGCTAAAGAAAGGTGCATTTCTCGCGCGAGCACTTAAAACAGAAACTGAGGATGACAAACATTCAGTCACATTTTTAAGAGCCTACGCGTTATGTATTTACTTGAAGTCACGGGGGAGGGAGGTGATTTTTAAAGTTTTTGCCTAAATGTTTGCAGTCACGTTGGCGGCATATTTTGCACAGCCCTTAAAACTAGCAAGACACTTAAATAAAGTTGTTTGCGTGTATGCGTGCCTTTAATGAAAGAAGAGTTGAATTTAGGTTAGCGACGACTGTACCTTCAGGATATTTTCAGAATATAAATTTTTCACTTTTTTTTAAAGTACGAAGTAAAGAATAATGTGCATAGGTTCCTGTTTGCGGAAACTGTAAAGTATGTAGATCCCTTTTTAATGTAACAGCATTATGTGGCTCATTGCACGACCCTGATGCGACAAGAAAGCACTACCACACTAGTTAGGTTATCTCCAGGGTCATGCACATCCTCTTTCTAAAATTGAAATTTGGATAAAAGAACAATTGAAAACCTGATATCCAGCAATGTGGTTGGTGATTAGACCAGTTGGCGGCTTACGTGCCAGACAACGCAACGGGCAGACAGAGCTCTGCGGAGCTTGCTCGGCAAACATCCTTGGTGCAGCGTTCTGGGCGATGCGAAAGGACGGCAACGTGACCAGTTTACAAAGCCTGCAATCGAGAATAGCGAGAAAAAGAAAGCGCAGGAAGATTAGTGAAAAGAGAACTTCGAATGGCTACACGAACATGGAAAGATAATGAGGGTACAAAAGGATGGGGAGCGTGCATGACAGAATTGAATGATTTATGATAAGACAAAGCCCACACGGCTCTAGAAATAAGCGCGTACGAATGTCAAAGCTCAACAATTCAACTTGCCGACACACTCAGTGCCAAGCAAAAGAGAGTCGGGAGGTTTGGGAAAGATGGAAGAATAGGAGATAACGTTTATATCTCCTGCAGTCACTTCAAAGATGTTTGCCTACGTATTATAGACAGACACGGTAAAATGGCCTGCATTACGCAAAGAAACTCTTCGCATAAAAAATGCATGCAGATCCAAGAAATCGACGCTAACGATGGAAGAAGCTTTAGGTAGCCTACTGTGAATCATCTGAGAAATGACAATGTTTTATAAATGTTTCCGCGGTAACACACCGATCGCATGAATGGGTGTCCTTGGCAGATGGAGCTTTCTGCAACCAAAAGTCGCCATTTTCATGTGTCAAAAGGTACTACTATGACAATTGGAACGCTTTAAATATCAACCACTGTGTGGACGCTAATATCAACTTTTCTGCGAAAACGCACAATGGCGCTGAAAATTTTTAGGCATTAGTTAAGTTAGCATTACGACTGATCTTTAGCAGTTAAGCGTTGTTTACTTTGACGAACGTAGTTAGTGAGGAATGGGACAGTGGAGTTGAAGAAGAACGGAACACTGTCTTTTTCCTCTTTACACTGCCGCCACAATGTTTTACATAACACACAAAAAATAACTTGGCAGATATTCGCGAAGCTTGAGAATCGTTGTTTTGCGAAGTATACCGAGGGCAGGTGGTTGTGTCGTAATTTTTTTATTGGGTGAAGCGTCCCTTAATGACGCTGAAAATATATATGGAAAATGTTGTACACACAGACATATGCTAAGAGTCACGAATGTTTTATATAACCAGTTGTTTAGTGCTGCGCAGCGATGTTAAAGTGACACTGCTATTAACAACACCAAAAGTGGTAAGCTGATATGTTGCACTTGGGCTTACGAGGATGGTAGTTCTGGACACTGCTACATAAATCAGCTTCAGTGGGTGGCGCATAACTACAGTAGAAGTTAATCTGACGTGACGGCTCTATCATAAGATTGCACTTGTAAGATTTTACAGTTGAATAGCCAGCACTGCAGCTACAGGTGACGTTTCACGAACATTGGGGTCTATTCAAAAAGCAGTTCTGAGGCCTTGCGTGGCTCTGTGGTAGAATACTTGACTACCAGGCAGAATGCTTTGGTTTGATTCCTTCTGGGAGCAAACTTATATTCATATTATTAATCGAGTTAGCGCTGCACGTTACTGGTTAGATATAAAATGTTTGAGTTTGAGTTTGGGTTTCTTCAACCACGTGACAAGTACACGAAAATACAATGTATACGTGGTTTGGTGCGAGAGGAAATAAGCTGCATTTCACAGCTTGACTGGCCCCTTCACCCAGAAAAAAATCTAAACTACAAATTTACAAAAAATCGCAAACACTACAGGCAGCGGAAAGCGACAATAAAAAGACACACGCATGTGGCCCATGACAGCAAATAATAGAATCACAACTCTAAAATACATACAAAAATATTCATAACAAAGCAATGCATGAAAGAATAAAAACTGAATAACCATTACAGAAATCACCCAACATTCATTTACAACATAATCAGCACGTCCGATTTAACATTACAGTTTTAGACAATATACGCAGATTATCAGTTGTTAGTTTCCATTTGTTCATCACATTTGGAAGGCGGTAACGTAGTGTTTCAAATCCATAGTTTGTGCGAGGACAAGGTACGTGCCAAGTCTCCGTACAGCGAGTAACGGGACTGGCAGGATTTGGTTGCAAGGTGGCCAAGGCGCGTAAAAAGATACTTCCTCTGCGTATTTCTGATTTAATAGCTGACAGAAGCTGGTATTCGTAATAACAGGTAATTCTTAAAATTCTATATTTTGCAAATATTGAAGCAGTGTGTGTGTTATAGAATACAACTTCGATGCACCCCAAGGCATTTTTTTTGTAACACGACCAGGTTCTTTAGAGATGCTTTAGAGTCTGTAGACCAGACCAGATGAGAATAGTGTAAATGTGAAGAAAAAAGAGCATTGTACACTAATATTTTTTGTTTCACAGGTAGTATGTTCTGGCATCGACGCAACACACCTAGAACTTTACAAAGTTTGTGACTAATGTGTTCTGCATGGTAATTCCATGCCATATGTTCGTGAAAACGGACACCGAGAGTTTTAACCGTTTGGCAAAGTTCAACTTCAACGTTATTAAGTATTAGCTTGTCAGACGTTTTAAATGACCTGGCTTTCGTACGGAACAGTACAGCTTTGCTTTTAGAGCAATTAATGTGTAGATAATTTGCCACAGTCCAGGCGTATATTTTATTTAGTGTTTCATTAGCAGAAACAATGAGGTCATCAGCTGTTTCCTCAGAAAAAAATATACAAGTATCGTCCGCGTAGATTACATAATCTACAGAGCTGTCAATACGTACAATATCATTGATAAAAATATTAAATAATAGGGGTCCCAAAATGCTACCTTGAGGTACGCCATTCTTAACGGTCATGGATGATGATAGCTCCCGATTAATTGATATACATTGTTTCCTATTAGATAAGTAGCTTCTTATTAAATCTAAAACGGTACCGCGAACTCCATAACAGTGAAGTTTTTCTAGCAAAATATCATGGTTTATTCTATCGAAAGCTTTCGAGAAATCTAAAAATATTCCTAGGGTAAGTTTTTTTGCTTTTATATTTCTTGGAATCAATTCCTTTTGGTATAGTAAGGCACTTTCGGTTGAGAGGCCTGACTGAAAACCGAACTGTGACGGCGTAATAATGTTGTGTTTATTAAAAAAATTTGATAACCGAATGAAAATAAGTTTTTCACACCCCTTAAAGAAAACTGGTAAAATCGAAATTGGTCTGTAGTTTCCTAAATTGCTTTTGTCCCCACCCTTATATATAACCGTTACTTTAGCGTTTTTCATTCTCTGAGGAAACAGCCCAGTGGTGAACACGAGATTTTAAATATGTACTAAGCAGGCGCATATGAGATCTAAAATGTGTTTTATAGGTTCTAATTTTAAGCCATCTGTGTCCTCGCTTTTACTCAATTTGAAATGCTGAAAAACGCTGATGACCTCTTGCACGTCTGT